CCGTGCGACATTTCGAGTGCCCTGGGGCAGCGTCGATCTCTACCGTGGGCACGAAGCAGACAGCATCAGCGGCGGCACACAGCAGCAGCAAGCAGCGGCAGGCAGCGGGTAGAAGCACGCACCAAGCGGAACTGGCCGTATCAGCATCGACCTGCAGCCACAAGCAGCAAGAATACGCAGCAGCGGCCTCAAGCACGACCAGGAGTGCACAAAAGCGGCAGCAAGCAGCAGCACACAGGAGCATGCGCGGAATGTGAGGTCGGGCCCCGCAATCAGATGCCAGGTCCTGCAGATTTCGTGGACGGAGTCCACGGGTCAGTCCCACCGACGTCGCCAGCCTCCTTCTTGTGCCCACAACCCACGACGACGACCACCACCACCATGACAACGACGCCGACTACGACGGGTACGACGGCGGCCTCGCGGCGGTGACGACAACGACGCCGACGATGATGGCGACGACGGCGGCCCCGCGACGGCCAAGCTGCTGGAGCGCTGCTAGAGCTCGGACACGAAGACGCGGTCTCGCTGCCACCGCCCTGGCCGCCTCCGTGTCTCTAAGTTTTCGGCAAAATCGTCGCCGTTCCTCCGAGAACCATTCCAGAAAGATATCGTGGACGGAGTCCACTTGTCAGCCCCAGTCTCTCCTACAATGCCGGAACCAGTGCGTGCGAGACAGGCGCACAGTGGCAGCTCGGTAAACAGGCCAGCGGGGCCAGACCGTCCCACAGTGGCCCCGAGCGCCTCAAGAAGGCCTAAGAAACGGCTTCAGAGGTCCCCAGACGGCCCGAACACGGTTGCAGAGGCCTTCAGAGACGTTGCAGGGTGCGTAGCAGGCCAAGAGAGGACCACAGAGGCGCCAAGAGAGGCCAAAGATCAATTGCTTCAGGTGGTTTTCGCGCGGCTTCGAAGTTGTCCAAAAGAGCTAGAGGGCTCCAGACTGCCCAAGAAATATTCCAAGACGACACAAGCGTGCCCCAGAGTGACGCAGGAAGGCCCCAAGATGGCCCCAGTCGGCCCTGGGAATGCCCAAAAGGGCACCCGGAGGCCCCGACGATGACCCAGGGGAGGCCTGCGTTTGCCCAAGACGGACCTGAGGGGACGCCAAGACGGCCCAAGAGGGCCCTGAGCGAGGTGTGGGAGGCGACACTGAAGCCCGACCGCATCCATGCTCTGACGCAGTGCGTGGGGGGCTGGGACGTCTGGGCCAGAGCCCGCCGAGAGGCTCCCAACGATGGGTCCAAGAGGGCCGGCGAGTCGGCACCAGGAGGGATTCAGAGAGCCTGCGTAGCGTCCAGGATAGCCCCAGAGATTGCCTTGAGACGGCCCCGAGACGACCCAACAGGGTCCCCGGCGGAGACCCCCCAAGACAGTGCCGGCCAGCCCCAAGTGGCGAAAGAGCTCCGACGCGCTTCAGGGCAGCCCCAGGTGGCTCCAAGGTGCCCCCAATTCGGCCCAGAAGAGGCCCAAGACGGCCTCCCCACTCGTTCAGCCCCAAGGCGGCCACACGCATCGAACACCTTATATTTGAAATGTCTCGGGCCTCCTCGTCTTGACAGCCCAAGACGGCCCTGATAATGATTGTGCCATGTGCTACCTCTGAAAACCTTATCAGCTACGCAGCTGGACTCGGCGCGTGCGATAAGAGCGAGCGTGCCATGCACGTGCTACTGTTGCTTAGCGGCTTGGTAGCTGAGCTGTATCTTGGTAGCTGAGCGGCATCTCTTCGTCTACTTTGCTGGGCAAATTTATATGCGAAGTCTTCGCTTTAACGGTTCAGCGTTGCCGTCATGGTTGGCCTTGGTTGGGTCCGACCGGATTCTGCAACTTGCCATCATGTCGAAGGTCCGATCGGCTGCCCGTATGGACTGGCCCACTCGAACTCCGCCTTCAGTCGGAGCGTGTCGAGAGCGTCCAGGCGCGCTTTCTCCGCAGTGCTTTGTCGCGAAGAGGTTTGTCGTCTCGGATGCTTTGTTGTGCCATGATTCGCTATGTCTGCCGTGGCATGCAGCGATCAACGTTGCTCTCTTAGATAGTGAGCTGTACCACGCGCATGCGCTGCAATCCTCATTTCTGCATGCTAGTGCGATCTCGCGGACGGCAGCCCACGGGCCAGCCCTAGTTATTACAACGCCGGGGGTCGCACGTGCCAGAAGGGCGGGGGACCCAATGACCCAAAACAGGCCCCGGCCCCGGGGGGGCTCCAGGATGTCTTCTGAGGGCTCCAAGACGGCCCAGGATGGCACACCACTCCCCCGGGCGGTCCGAGGGATCGCCAATATGGCTTCCAGACGGCCCACAGTGCCAGAAGACGGCCCAAGAAGGCTCCAAGAGGCCTCCAAGCAGGGCCCCGAGGGGCCACAATCATTGTTTCCCTTTAGGCTTTTGAAGGGTTTCAGCGTTCTCGCCTTTTCGGAGTCTCGACGCTCCGAGCTGGCCACCGGGCCCCCAAGATCGCGCCAAGACCGCCCAAGAGGCCCCCGAGAAAGCTCCGAGAAGGCCCAAGAGGGCTCCAAGACGGCCCAAGAGGGCCCCGAGACGGCCCAAGAGGGCCCCAAGACGGCCCATGACGGCCTCAAGAGGGGGAATTCGGAACACGGACCAAGACGAGCTCGGACTGATAGTTCGCGCCCTTTACTCCAGGGTGATCCCCGAAACCGCCAGCTGGCCCCCGCGAGGCCCCTCGAGACGCCCCCAAAGGCCCCCCAAGATGCCCAAATCAGGTCCCAGGAGACCCTCGAAAGGCCGCAAGACACCGCCAAAACCGCCTCCGAGAGGCTTCCGAGGGAAGGTTTCTCAGAGAGCTCTGGGACCGCGGCGGCAACCCGGGAAAAGAAGGCGCCCCTGCGCCTCTTACTGCCTCCCTTCCTTTGCAAAGGCTCCAGTCTAAATGGGTGACTCTTCGGGGAGCTCTTTCTGAGCGTGCTCCGGACAGGCTGTCCATTGGGGGCATGTCCCGCAGTGCCTTCGATCTTCTCCCCAGCCCACGCAGCCCGCGCGCATCCTCCGACCTCTTCGGGCGGCCACAGACACAGTGGAACATCGTTAGAAAGGAAGGCCCACTGCTGCTTCTGAATCTCTAGCTGTAGCCTCAACTCAGCCCCCCAAGGTGGCTCAAGATCATCCCGGGGCGGGCCAAAACGCCCACCTTACCCGAAGGCAGCAGCACGAAACACGAAGTTGGCCACAATAGCGTCAGCGCACAGCAACAGCAAGCAGCAGCAGCAGCAGCAGCAGCAGCAGCAGCAGCAGCAGCAGCAGCAGCAGGTAGCCGTGAGCAGCACGTCCCAAGCAGACGTGGCCATCAGCAGCACCCGTCAGCCGCAAGCAACAACGACGCGCAGCAGCGGCAAGCATTACCAGCAACACGCAACAGCGGCAGCAAGCAACACCACGCAGCGGCATGCGCCCAATGCGAGGGTCGAGCCCCGCGAAGTAGTGGCACCCCCCACAGGCCCCCACACGCTTCATCCCGCAAGTGTACGTAGTCCACAGGTCAGCCCTAGTCTGCACTATATAGTGTCAGCTACAATGCTGGGATCAGCGCGTGCGAGAAGGGCGGGCAGTGGCAGCGGGCGCTGGTGCTGCTCAGCGAGATGCGGGAGGCGAAGCTGGAGACCAGCGTCATCTATCCTACAATACCGCGGACGGCGCGCGCGAAAAGAGCGAGCGGTGGCATTGAACGGGTCCCCTCTGGGCCAGTCCGGGGGAGCCCCCTGGGGCCCCCGCCGCTCCCGGTGGCCCCTCGGGGCCGCCTCGGCAGCTTTCGGAGAGGCCTCGATGGCGCAGGGGACGGCGCAAGACTGCCGAACACGGCCCCCAGACAGCCCAAGAGGCACCCATGACACCCCAGGACCTCCCCAAGAGACTCCCCGGGAGCGCTTCCTTCCGGAGGCCGAAATCATTGATCGTCTATTGTGTGTATATATATACATACATACATATACATTATATATATACATATATATATATATATATATATATAGATGTGTATATATATATATATAAATGTGTAAACAAATGTGTATATATCTATATATATATATATATATATATGTTCTCACCTTTTCCGCCTTCGGCCGCCCAAGACACTCTCAAGGGCCTCCCAGACCGTGCCAGAGCGGCCTCCGAGGCTCCCGAGAGCGCCCCAACACGGCCCAAGAAAGCTCCAAGACGGTGCCCAGACGGCCCCAAGACGGTAACGGAGGGCCCCAGAGGCCCCCAAGCGGAGACCCCCAGATAGCTCCAAAAGCCTTCCAAGATGGCCCACAAGCAAGTGGCGTCACTCTACCTGCTTTTGGATTCTCTCCGGGCCCCCTTGGGGCCCTCTGGGAGCGCTCCCAGGCGCCGCCTAAGACCAGCCTGAAGCCCCAGGGTGAGCCCAAGCAGGCCCCAAGAGGCCCCAGAAGGGCTTTCAGAGCGGCTTCAAGTGGATTCCAAGAGAGCCCGAAAGCAAGTGGAGTGACGCCGCTTGCTTCTGGATTCGCTCCGAGCCCACTTGGGGCGCTCTCCGAGCGCTCCCGGAGGCCGCCTCAGTCCCGCCTGAGGCCGCGTGCCCTCCCCGACTGTATGCCCTGCTGAGGCACTGGACTGTTTTTCTCTTGCCCGACCACGGGGCGGTCGCCCGTCGCGGTGCCGGTGCCTCCTAGCCCAGGGGCTGCTGGAGATACCTTTTCAGTCAGTGAGGTCGCCCTCACTACCAGCAGTGGTTTCCCAGCCACCGCTGCTGGTTCTGTTTTATGACTTGGCTGTGCGGGCGCTGAGCAAAAAAAAAAAAAGCAAGTGGAGTGACGCCACTTCCTTTTGGGCCCTCTTGGGCCCCCTTGGAGCCTCCCAGGAGCTCGCCTGATTTTTGCCTGGAGCCCAGAAGAACTGCTTCCTTCTGCATCGCAGACACGCCCTGCAAGCACTGCACCTCTCCACATCGATAGCGGTGATCCCACCACAGGTACACACTAGTCAGCTACAGCGCTGGGATCAGTGCGTGCGAGAAGAGCGAGCAGTGGCAGCGGGCGCTGGCGCTGCTCAGCGAGATGCGGGAGGCAAAGCTGGAGACCAACGCGATCTGTACCATAATGCCGGGGGAACCGCGTGCCAGAAGGATGGGCTCCGGGGCGCGGCTGAAGTGGCCCAATTCGCCCCCAGGTGGCATAGCGGACTCTGGCGGGCTCCGAGACGGTTAAGAATGGCCCGAGACGCTAACAGACGGTCCAAGAGAATGCCGATCTGGCAGCAGGCGGCCCAGCTGGGCCCCAAGACAGCCCAGAGCTCCAAGAGGCCCCCCCAAGAAGGGCCCCGAGATGCCAAAATCAACGGTTTTCCGTGAGTTTTGGGAGGTTTTCAGCGTCCTCGCTTTTTTCCCGGAAAGGGCGTAGGCCCAGGGTTCTCTTTTAGTATGTAAACATATCCCCCCGTGCCCAACTTGAAGGAGGCCGGCGGATTCTTTCCTTGATAAATATCGAGGTCGAAGGAGGCCGGCGGATTAAACTTTGAGGATGTCTCAGGCGAAACGCTTGTTTTTGAAATCCCGATCGATAAATCACAGGGTGCGGGCCACCTCAGCACGACCACATCCCAGCACGACCACACCCCAGCACGACCACGCCCCAGCACGACCACGCCCCAGCACGACCACACCCCAGCACGACCACACCCCAGCACGACCACACCCCAGCACGACCACACCCCAGCACGACCACACCCCAGCACGACCCGATCGATAAATCACAGGGTGCGGACCACCCCAGCACGACCACACCCCAGCACGACCCCACCCCAGCACGACCCCACCCCAGCACGACCACGCCCCAGCACGACCACACCCCCACGACCACACCCAGCACGACCACACCCCAGCACGACCCCACCCCAGCACGACCCCACCCTAGCACGACCACACCCCAGCACGACCACACCCCAGCACGACCACCCCAGCACGACCCCACCCCAGCACGACCCCACCCCAGCACGACCACACCCCAGCACGACCACACCCCAGCACACCCCAGCACGACCCCACCCCAGCAAGACCACACCCCAGCACGACCACACCCCAGCACGACCTCACCACAGCACGACCACACCCCAGCACGACCACGCCCCAGCACGACCACGCCCCAGCACGACCACGCCCCAGCACGACCACCCCCCAGCACGACCACCCCCCTAGCACGACCACACCCCAGCACGACCACCCCCAGCACGACCACACCCCAGCACGACCACACCCCAACACGACCATACTCCAGCACGACCACACCCCAGCACGACCACACCCAGTCGCACCCCCGTGGAATGTTTCGTGGGGTGTCTGGTTGAGTGGTTGCCTGTTCGTGGGGTGTCTCGTGGAATGTTTCACGGGGTGTCTCGTGGAATGTTTCGTGAGGTGTCTCGTGGGTTGTTTCGTGAGGTGTCTCCTGGGATGTTTCGCGGGGTGTCTCGTGGGATGTTTCGTGAGGCGTCGCCCAGTTGGATATCGTGAAAACGTGACCATGCTGCACATGTCTATATCCCTTTCCGGGTTCGTGGGTCCATCATGTTGCAGCCTCGATGCTTCAAGACGGCCCCAGAGGCTCCCAACATCGCGCCAAGACTGCCCAAGAGGCCCCAAGAGAGCTCCCAGACGGCCCAAGAGGGCTCCACGACTGCCCAAAAGGCCCCAAAGATGGCCCAGGACGGCCCCAAGAGGACCCCACGAGGGGAAATTCGAACTGACACTTCGCGCCCTCCGCTCCAGGATGAGCCCAGAAACCGCCGGCTGGCCCCCAAAAGGCCCCCCCAGACGCCCCAGGTGGCCCCCCAAGAGGCCCAAATCAGAACCCAGGAGGCCCTCAAGGGGCCCGAAGACACCACCCAAACCGCCCCCAAGATGCTTCCGAAGGAAGGTCTCCCATAGAGCTCTGGGGCTGCGCCGGCCACCCGGGAAAAGAAGGCAGGCGCCCAGGCGCCGAGTAGTTTCTCCTCTTCTTTGCAGAAGGCTCTGGTCTGAATGGGGTACACGTCCGGGATTGCGGCCTCCTTTGCGGAATCCGGTAGGGGCGTTTCGGGCCCTTGTACATCGAAGCAGGCAGCGCTGTCATTCGGAGTGGTCACGCAGCAAGCCTGCGAAGCTGGTGTAGGCCGAGCAGGTGCAGGTTGTGACGTCCGGGAGTTCTCCCTGAAAGTGTTCCGGACTGGCCAGCTACTGGGGGCACGCTCCGCAGCGCCTTCAACCTCATTCCCCAGCCGACGCAGCCCGCGCGCATCCTCCGACCTCTTCGGGCGGCCACAGCCACCAGGGAACCCGGAAGCCCGCCTTCAAGAGGCTTCCGCGGGAGGCCACCACAGGAAGCTCTGGGACCGCGCCGGCCAGCAAGGAAATTGAGGTCCCCACGCTCCTCTCATGTCCCCCCCCTTCCTTTGCATAGGCTCCGCTCTGAACGCATCCTTCGACCTCCTCGGGCGGCCACAGCCACCATGGAAGGTCGTTGGAAAACGAGGCCCACATGCTTCTGTGTCTTTGTTTCATTTAACGCCCCTGCGGAGGGAGGCATCGCCGCCCTACTTTTCGTTGGAACCCGGAGTTTCTCTGCGGGGGTGCCCACGGCGACCCTAGCGGGTCCAGATAGGCTGGGAGGGCGGGTGTGGATCCCAGGGCAGCGAAATAGTGTTGAGGATTATTGCTAAGGTTTAGTGTTCAGGATGCGTGCGTGGAGAAGAGTTCCGTGTTCACATCAGGGATTGCCGTTAAGAGTACGTTTTAAGGGTTATTGTTATGGGTGAGCGTTAAGTAAGTGCTAGTGTTACGGATTGGTGCTCAGGATTTGCGTCTTGGAATAGGGTAAGTTACCAGTGCGAAGGAGCAATGTGAAGGGATTGCGTTAAGGATGCGAATCCTTGGGACCGAACCTGCTACAATCCCCTCTGGGGCGTGCTCGTATTATGTGGCATGATGCTCAGTGAGGCTGTGGTTCGGCAAGGCTCTATGTGAACGTCCGGCGCATTGATTCAGCTGGGAAGCTCATGTGGGCGAGTTGTATGTATCGTTGCAGTCAAGGCGCCTTTGGTGAGTGCAGGCACGGCTCAAAGGGGCCAAAAGGGCGCGTAGGCTTCAAAGAGCTGAATGTTTCCATCAGGGCAGCTCTCGGGTAGTGGTGCTGCTGCCACAAAACGCCGGCAGGTGGTTTTTGGGAGCGTGGGAAGTTTGGGAGGCGCGGTGGAGGAGAAGGAGGGCCTTGAAAGACAGGCCAGAGTGGGGGAGGGGCGGGGGTCGAATACGGCCCCAGCGTCTTTGTTGAATCGCTTCTCTCACTCCGCCAGCCCATGTCGCATCACTATGGCTGCGTGATGGTGTGCTCGTGCCCTGGGGGAACACTAGGGCAGGCAGGACTGTCCTCGAGGAGATCTTGGGAGATGCGGCTCGCATCGTGTCGGAGGGAGCCGAACGATTGCCCCAGAGGGCGCCAAGATGGCTCAAGAGAGCTCCAGAAGAGTTTCGAGACGTACCTGGGTTGTGGGTCAAAGTCCTTGTGGATGCTTCTTGGGGTCTCTTCGGAGGGCTCTCGGGAGCCTCTGGGGAGTTGGAGGCATCTGGGGAGCCTCTTGGGAGCTTCGTAGGGGCCTCTTGGGGCTTCCTGGGGGGCCTTTTCGGAGTCTTGGGAGCCTCTTTTGGGGCCTCTTGGGGGGCTCTTGGGGCCTCTGGGGGCTTCCTGGGCGCCCCATTGGAGCCGAGAGCTCGAAATGTCTGTTCGGGTTCCCCCTCGGGGCCCCCTCTTGGGGCCATCCTGGGGCCGTCTTGGAGACCTCTTGGACCGTCTTAGGGCCATATTGGACCATTTGGGGGCCGTCTTCGAGCGATCTTGGGGCATTCTCGGCCGTCCAGGCGGTCGGCAGCTCGAAACGGCGGTACCGCCAAAATCGTCAGGGCCGTAGCCCCTCGAGGTCCTCTTGGAACCCTCCTGGAGCGTATTGGGCGCTTCTTGGGCCGTCTTGGGGCCAGCGTGGGCCGTCTGGAACGCTCTTGGCCTGAGGCCGTGGGGCACGCCACCCTTTCGGCGCCAAGTTGGGGCGCTCGGGGTGCCCCCGAGGCCGCGCCCGGGAGTTCGGGTGTACACACGTAGAGCTCTCGTCGCCAGAGCGCCCCCCTTCTCGTCCTTCTCGTCCTTGTCGTCGCTTCGCCCGATCACCCCCCCCCTTCTCCTCCTTTTCTCGTAGGTTGATAGACCTCCTAACCTGACACGCTGGTTAGCGAATTGGCCGCTTTCGGTTCGCCAGAGGGCGTCGCGGCCGCCACTTTTGCGGGTCCAGGCCCGTCCGTTTCGGCCCCAGGCCGTTTTCATTAAAGGGCGGTTACTAAAGGAAGGTTTGTCCACCGCCGATTCTTGTTACTTCCCGTCCTTGCCACTGCCGCCTCCCAGGGCCCGACACGCGAAAACCCTCGAGTTTCGGTATTTTCTTGGTGCTCGAAATTCGTTTTGGCGATCAAGGCCAAACCAGGTTGGGACACCACAGCCCTTCTCGTTCTTCTCGTTGCTTCCCGTCCTTGCGTGGCCAGAGACCATGCCAGGGTAGTGCTTTGTTTTCGTCCGGGAGGGGCCCCCAGCCAGGGGCCGCCACGCGCGCGTGCACTCTGGAGACCTATCGAAGCCTTCCACCCGAGATTTTTGATCGGTGGGGGCGCTGGTTCAGGAAAATGTGCCCTGGATCGGGGGTGGCAAAGAGGGGGTTGATGACTAGGGGAGGGGGCGATATCGTGGCGGGGGCCACGGTATCTCCCCAGCTTTCATGGCGCCTTTTCTTGTTTCAGTACGTCCCCGGCTCCCCCTTTGGCCGCGCACGTGCTGCCGGCCACGATTTGCGCCCCCCCCCCCCCCTCCTCTTGGACGCCCCCCTCCTGGCTGCCCCTGACAGGAGGCGTCAGACCCTGGAGGATTCCTTATCTGATGAGGGCGGCGGTGATATTCATAGCCGGTCCACGATGGGATTTCCACCGGCTTCCAGACCCTGGCTTCCTTATCCAATGGTTCCTTATTCAATGCCCGCACCGAATCACGCCTCTGGCCCGTTGGGCCGGCGAATTTTCGGCCTTGGCCCTAACACGGCCTCAAGGCGGCTCAAGATCATCCTGCGGCCGCCCATATCGCGCACGTTACCCCCCGAAGGCAAGCAGCAACAGCAGCACGCACAGGCGGCAAGCATTACCAACAACACGCAGCAACGGCATCAAGCAGCATCACGCAGCCCTGGAGGCCCTGGCTGCGTGGCCGACTTCGTCCACGCAGAGGCGGAGCATGCGAGCACCTGCGCTTGTGGAGGCATCTTAGGCCATCTCTGAGCACCCTTGGGGCCATCGAGGCCCGTGTGCGTGTCCTCCAGGGCCATCTTGGAGCCAGCAGGGGCCGCACCGGTCAGGGGCCGCATCGCGCCGTCTGGGATCCCTGGAGGCCCTGGGTACGTGGACGATTTCGCCCACGCAGCGGCGGAGCATGCGAGATCCCAGAGGCATCTCGAGCCATCTCTGAGGCCCCTTGGGGCCATCAAGGAGGACAACGGTGGCGACTGCAACCGCGACCCCAATGCCATCCTGAAAGCTTGTCGGTAGCATATCCGCCAAGACCCCACCAGCCTCGCCGACGAGCTTTCGTGGTCGGTAGTCCACGGGTTCGCCCTATCTCTCCGACAATGCCGGAACCAGTGCGTACGAGAAGCGCACAGTGGCAGCTCGGCAAACAGGCCAGCGGGGCCAGACCCTCCCACAGTGTCCCCGAGCGCCTCAAGAAGGCCTCAGAAACGGCTTCAGAGATCCCAGACGGCCCGAACACGGTCGCAGAGGCCCTAAGTGGCGTTGCAGGGTGCACAGCAATCCAAGAGAGGACCACAGAGGGGCCAAGCGAGGCCCCTGACAAATTGCTTCAGGTGGGTTTCGCGAGGCTTCGAAGTTGTCCACGAGAGCTAGAGGGCTCTAGACTGTCTCTGAAAGATTCCAAGACGGCACAAGCGTGCCCCAGAGGCCCCCGAGATGGCCCAAGTCGGCCCTAGGAATGCACAAGACGGCCCCCGGAGGCCCCGACGATGACCCAGGGGAGGCCTGAGTTTGCCCAAGACGGACCTGAGGGGACGCCAAGACGGCCCAAGATGGCCCTGAGCGAGGTGTGGGAGGCGACACTGAAGCCCGACCGCATCCATGTTCTGGGTGCTATGGGGCTGGAGCGTCTGGGCCAGAGCCCGCCGAGAGGCTCCCAACGATGGGCCCAAGAGGGCCGGCGAGTCGGCACCAGGAAGGATTCGGAGAGCCCAGGCAGCGTCCTGAGCGGCATCTCTTCATCTATCCGCAAGGGCTTCGCCCCCACGCCGCCGGCCCCCCTCACTTAGAATGGGGCTTTCCAGAGCTGTGTTGGGATGTCTGGGCGCTGACGTGAAGCAATGTCGGGACTTCACGAGGGTTCAGGGCTGCGGTGGCTCGGGCATCAGGTCATTTACGGGGGGCGATGGCCTCGGGGACGCGAGTATTGAGTCATCTACAAGGGTGCATGGCCTCGGGTACGCGAGTATCGTGCCATTTGCAACGGCGAGTGGTTTCGGGAACGCAGCTATTGTGTAGTTTACGAGGGGTTACAAAGGTTTAAGGTTTCGGGGCACGAATTCTGCCTGATTAACTAAAGGTTTACGGCCTAGGGTGCGCGAATATTCCGTCAGTTACATGAGGGCAATGGCTTCGGGGACGCGAATATTGTTATTTTACAAAAGGATTATGACTTCGGGGACGCATCGTTTCAGTTACAAGGGTTTATGGTCTCGGGGACGCGAACATGGTGTAATTTACAAGGGATGATGGCCTCGGGGACGCGATTGTCATTATTTTCACGTGTCCCACGACCCCTCAGGAATTCAGACAACGCGGTTCGGGCGTTCAGCAACAATTTGCAGTAAGGAAGCAGAAAGCAGGATTGTAACAGTGGAAACTGGAAACTGCAACGGGAACAGGGAGCTGCAATCCTCACCCTCGCAGCCTGGTGGCCCCGCAAGGGGGCCGGCGGACTTTGCCGGGCAAATTTGTGTGCGAAGTATTCACTTTAACGGTTCAGCGTTGCCGTCATGGCTGGCCTTGGTTAGGTCCTGACCAGATTCTGCAATTTGCCATCATGTCGAAGGTCCGATCGATTGCCCGTCTGGGCCTGCCCACTCGAACTCCGCCCACCAGGAGGGATTCAGAGAGCCTGCGTAGCGTCCAGGATAGCCCCAGAGATTGCCTTGAGACGGCCCCGAGACGACCCAACAGGGACCCCGGCGGAGACCCCCCAAGACAGTGTCGGCCAGCCCCAAGTGGCAAAAAAGCTCCGACGCGCTTCAGGGCAGCCCCAGGTGGCTCCAAGGTGCCCCCAATTCGGCCCAGAAGAGGCCCAAGACGGCCTCCCCACTCGTTCAGCCCCAAGGCGGCCACACGCATCGAACACCTTATATGTGAAATGTCTCGGGCCTCCTCGTCTTGACAGCCCAAGACGGCCCTGATAATGATTGTGCTATGTGCTACCTCTGAAAACCTTATCAGCTACGCAGCTGGACTCGGCGCGTGCGAGAAGAGCGAGCGTGCCATGCACGTGCTACTGTTGCTTAGCGGCTTGGTAGCTGAGCGGTATCTTGGTAGCTGAGCGGCATCTCTTCGTCTACTTTGCTGGGCAAATTTATATGCGAAGTCTTCGCTTTAACGGTTCAGCGTTGCCGTCATGGCTGGCCTTGGTTAGGTCCTGACCAGATTCTGCAATTTGCCATCATGTCGAAGGTCCGATCGATTGCCCGTCTGGGCCTGCCCACTCGAACTCTGCCGCCAGTCGGAGCGTGTCGAGAGCGTCCTAGCGCGCTCCCTCCACAGTGTTTTGTCGCGAAGAGGTTTGTCGTCTCGGATGTTTTGTTGTGCCATGATTCGCTATGTTTGCCGTGCCATGTAGCCATCAGCATTGCTTTCTTAGATAATGAGCTGTACCACGCGCGTGCGCTGCAATCCTCACTTTTGCACGCGAGTGCGATCTCGTGGGCGGTAGTCCACGGGTCAGCCCTAGTCAGCTACAACGCTGGGATCAGCGCGTGCGAGAAGGGCGGGCAGTGGCAGCGGGCGCTGGCGCTGCTGAGCGAGATGCGGGAAGCAAAGCTGGAGCCCGACGTCATCAGCTGCAGCGCTGGGATCAGCGCGTGCGCGAGGGGCGACCAGTGGCCGCGGGCGCTGGCGCTGCTCAGCGAGATGCGGGAGTCGAAGCTGGACCCCAACGTCATCCCTTCTCTCCTGCATGGCCCGAGGACGCACTTGGCATCGCTCGGACGTGTGCATCTATCCTTCGGCGAGGACCATCGAGGAGCATCCTGAATGCTCTGGCAGAACAGCCACGCACGAAACCGAAAAAAAACACAGGGAATGGACGTCCGAGCGATGGCCAGAGCACGTGCGGGCAGGGAAACGGACCAAGTGCCGAACATCGGCCTCGGCGGGCCCCTTGTCGCGGTGTCGGCGGGCCCCTGGCGCGGCTTCGGCACGGCCTGGCGTGCCCCTGGGCGGCTCGGGCACGCGTCGGGACGCCTTCCAGGGAGCGCCGCGTGGCCCCAAGACAACCCCCGAGGCCGTCCAGACAGCTCGCGGCGGCCAACACATCTTTTTGCTTGTGGTCTTGGCTGGATTTTCGAGCCAAGAGCGGCCCAAGACGGCTCTTTCTTGGGCGCCCCCCGCATTCTCCAAGGCCGCCCAAGAGCTCCGGCAGGGCCCCAACACGGCTCAGGAGGTCTCCGAGTACGGCTCCCCCAGGAGCCCCAGACGGCCCACGCGAGCCCCGAGACGACCTAGAGAGCGCCCGAGGGCTCACGGAGAGCTCCGAGACAGCCCAAGAGCCCCAATATCGCCCCGTCGACGGCCCAATTGAGGCCGTCCAAACGGCTCGCGGCGGCCAAAAATCATTGATTCTTCCTATGGGTTCCGCCTGCTTTTCAGGTTCTCGCGATTTCGAGCGGCCCAAGACGGCTCCAGGGCCCCCCACGAATGCTCCAAGACTCAAGAGGCTCCGGCAAGGGCCCCAAGACGGCTCAGGAGTGCTCCAAGACGGCTCCTGGAGGAGCTTAAAACGGCCGAGAGACCCAAGAGACGGCGCGATAGAGCCCCCAGAAGCCCCCAGACGGGCCCCAAGAGCTGCCTGAGAGGGCTCACAGGAAGCTCCGAGACGGCTCAACAGCCCCAATTTGGCCCCTACACGGCCCCAGAGGCCGTTAAGACGGGCCGCGGCAAACGAAATCATTGATTTCCCGATGGTTTTTGAGTGATTTCCACCTTCTCGCCATTTCGAGCCAAGACCGGCCCAAGACCGCCACTTCGAGCCAAGAACGGCCCAAGATGACGTGGACGAAGCTCACGGGTTCGCCCAAGTCTCTCCTACATGGCCAGTGGATCTGCGTGCGAGAATGTCTCAGGGCCTCGTGTGTACAAAATCGCCCCTTTACGCCACCACGGGGCCGAATCGCTCAGGCCGGTCCCAGAGGCGCTCCAGAGGGGTCCCAGACCGTCCAAGAGCGGTCCAAGACGGCCTCTGGGTCCCGAGACGGCCCACGAGGGCCCGAAGCCCTCCGGGGGGGGCTCCCCGACGATCCAAGAGGCCGCAAAGACGCCCCAAGAGGGCCCCGAGCGCACGCCAAAAGAGGCACAACTCGTCAAATTCCGATGGGAAAGCATACATTTTCAGCATGCCCGCATTGTTTGCTCCTCAGCGGCCCAGGACACGCCAAGAGGCCTCCCAAATCGCCCCAAGAAGACGCCAGCGGCCCCTGAAAGGGCTCCAAGACAGCCCACAAGAGCCCCAAGACGACGCCGGAGAGCCCTGAAACGGCCTCACAGATTCCCAAGACGGCCCCAAGAGAGCTCCGAGGGGGCCCCAAGAGGCTCCCAAGACGGCCTCAGGCAGCCTCCAGAGAGCTCCAAGACGGTCCAAGGCCTCCCCGACGCCCCGTGACGGCCCAAAAAGGCCCCAAGACGTCCCAAAACGCTTCCAGAGCAGCCCCAAAAAACGTCAGAATGCCAGAAAAAGACCCCCCACAATGACCACCAAGCAGGCCCAGATACGCCTAAAAGAGCGATCGGTGAAGTACAAAGATCTTCTCACCAAGGCTCCCAAGAGCGAGACGCAGCGTAGAGAGCTCTCCCAGGCACAGCTCCCAAGAGCGAGCGGTGACGTCCCCTTCCGACCTCTCACACAGGAACACGCACGCAGCACGCAATCACAATAGATTTTCTGGGCTGTCCCCCGGAAGAGGCTGGGGGGGGACAGCCTGGGAACGGCCCCAGAGGCGCCCCAAAAAAACTTCAAGAGAAAAGGCCCCAAGAGGCCGCAAGACGGCCCAGGAGGGCCCCAAGAGGCCCCTAGGAGGCCGCAAGACAGCCAACGAGGCCCCAACAGGTCCCCAGGAGCTCGAAACCCCGAGAGGCCCACTAACCGTTCCCAAGGAGACGGCAGCGCCCGCCATCAGGCTTCGACGAGGCAACCAGAAAAAAGTCTCCAGACCCCTTCGGGTGACCTTTTTCAAGGCCCCAGGTGTTTTCAAAATTGACAAGCGGCGAGACGTACACCGCAAACCCACCATAGCCATCTGTGACGCTCCGAAGGCTGTCCGGAAGGCGGACGAAGAGAAGGAAGCGGTCCAAGAGGGCCTCCGAGACGGCCCAAGACCGCTCGAAGACGCCCCAGAAAAAGAAATCATTGATTCTTCTATGGTTTCTGAAAGATTTCCACCTTCTCGCCATTTCAAGCGAAGACAGGCCCAAGACGGCTTTTTCGAGCCAAGACTGGCCCAAGATGACGTGGACGAAGTCCACGGGTTCGCCCTTGTCTATACTATATGGCCGGAGGAACCGCGTGCCGGAAGGAAATCCACCCAAATGACTAGGGAACCCGTGGATTTTTCACGGCGCGGTTTAAAGACGCCCCGGGCGGCTCCGGAGAGGCTCCGGAGGCCCCAAGAGGCCCCCAAGACAGCTCAAGGAGCCCCCGAGACGCCCAAAGAGCGCTCCAAGAGGCCGCCCAGACGGCACAAGAGGCCTGCAAGCGTATTCCCCGAGGGCCCCGAGCGGCCAAAATCATCCACTTTACGAAGGTTTTGGAAGGATTTTGGCCTTCTCGCCTTTTCCGCTTTCCGACGCTCGAAGACGGCCCAAGAGGCCTCCAAGAGCGCCCCAGAACGGACCAAAAGGCCTCCAAGAGCGGCCCAAGACAGCCCATTAGGGCCCCAAGACGACCCAAGAGACGCTCAAGACGGCCCACGAGGGCCCGAAGACAGGCCCAATAGGGGGCCAAGAGGGGGATCACGGACCGAAAATCCGAGCCTTCCGCCCCAAGACGGCGCCAGGAGGCCCAAACAGGCCCCCAAGAGGCCCCCAGGGGCCGCCAATAATCCCCCGAAGAGGCCCCAGGGGGCTCCCAAGGAGCCCAAACGAGGCCCCAACACAGGCCCCAACAGCTTCCAAAATGGCCCCAAAGAGGCCTCGAGCCCGCCTCCGAGCTTCCTCGCCGCGAGGGTGCCAACACGGCCCCAGACGGGCCCAGGACGGCCCAAGGCGCGCTCAAGACGGCCCAAGACGACTCCAAGACGGTCCCAGGAGGGCGGACCCAGGACGGCCCCAGGACGCGCCCGGTCGGGGCCTCAAGACGGGCCAAGATGGCAAGAGAGCCCCAGCTGGGGCAAAGATCGTGTATTTTCCATTGTTTACTGTTACACCTTTTGCGTTTCCCGCCATTTCGGCGGTCCGATGCACCAAGAGGCCCCAGAAAGTCCCAGGAGGGTCCGAGGAAACGTCCAGGAAGGCCCCAAGACGGGCCAAGACGGACCCAGCACAACCCAAGGCGCGCTGCGACGGCTCAAGACGGCTCCAAGACAGCCCCAATAGGGTGCCAACACGGCCCCTGCTGGGCCCAGGACGGCCCAAGGAGGCGCACAGGAGGGGCCCAAGACGACTCCAAGGCGGCCCCCTCACGGTCCCAGACGGCTCCACGACAGCCCCACGATAGTGCCAACAAGGACCCCGATGGGCCCAGGACGGCCTACGGACGCGCCCATGAGGGGCCCACGACGAACCAAGACGGCCCCATCACGGCAAACGGCGCCCTGAAGACGGGCCTAGACGGCTCCAAGACGGCCCTTTGAGGGAGCCACCGCGGCCCCACACCCTTTGGGCGAACACTCGGGGTGGCTTGGAGCTTGCGACAAGTCTCCCACATTCATTGTCCTGCCCCATTCTGTTCGCCTGGAGGCCTCCTCCAACCCTGTGGGAGAACAAAAGGAAACCCAGCGGGCCGCCAACCCTGGGGCCCGTGGGCCCCGCGCCGCTTGGGCAGAAGACGAACGCCAGGTCTGACAGGCCAGCTACTGCCCCCCTTTGCCCCATATGCTGTGCCATTCTGTTCCCCCAGGGGCCTTGGCAAACTCTTCGGGCCAACCAGACCGGACCCCTGGGACAGCAGCCAATAGATATGACCCAGGGACCTCTCCGCTTTCTTCGGGCAACTTGGGGGCCGGGGAGATTCAGACAAGTCTTCCCCATTCCTTGCCCTGTCCCGTTCTGTTCGCCCGAAGGCCTCCACAGACTCTCAGGGCGAACAGAATGGGACATGGCGAACAAACCCTCCCGTTGGCGGTGATACGACTGGATCGCACCATCAAGGCGTGCCCGGAGGTGATGGCCGACCCAACAGCGGTTTCTCTAAAGATTCTACAGACTCTCTTGAAGCTCTCTTCGGCCCTCCCTGTAGATCCTTGCGAGCCTCCCCGGCGCTTTCGGTGGCTTTCCCCGATGGCCTCCCGAGCCCTTCCCCGGGCGCTCCTGAGACGCCTCAGATGGGCTTCGACTTCGACGCACATCCCCGAGAGACTTCGAAACTGCCCTCAATAGGAGGGGGTGAACGAGCAGTGCGCTGGGCCAAGCTGCTGGAGCGCTGCAAGAGCTCGGACACGAAGGCGCGGTCTCGCTGCCGCCGCCCGAGCCGCCGCCGTGTTTGTAGATTTTCGGTGCACTCTGCGCCGTTACTCCGAGAACCATTCCAGAAAAATGTCGTGGACGGAGTCCACGGGTCAGCCCTAGTCTCTACTACATTGCAGGGCCCAGTGCGTGCCAGAAGGGCGCAGGCTCCAATGAGTCAAAACCGCTCCGGGCTGGCCCCGGGCCCCGGGCCGCCCAGGCAGGCTCCAGGACATGTCGAGAGGGCCCCCAGAAGCCCCCAAGACGGCCCCGGAGAGCCCCGGCACGCTTAAAGATGGGCCCAAGACGCCCGAGATTCGCCCCAGACGGCCCAAGAGGCGTCCAAGACGCCCGAAGAGGCCTCCCAAGAGGCCTCCCAAGAGGGCCCCGAGCGACAGAAATCGTAGATTTCTATTGTGTTTTTTTATGTTTTCGGCCTTCTCGTCTCTTCGGCTTCCCGACGCTCCAAGACGGCCCAAGAAGTCCCCCCGACCGCTCCAAGACGGCCGAAGAGGACCCCAAGAGAGCCCAAAGACGGGCCAGGAGGGCCCCAAGACGGTCCCAAGACGCCCCGGGACGGCCCCAGGACGGCCCAGGAGGCGCCCCAGACGGCCCAAGAGGCACCCAAGACGGCCCCAGGAGCGGCCCAAGACGGCCCAAGACAGCCCAAGAGGCGCCGAGGCGGGCCTCAGACGGCCCCAAGACGGCCCAAGAGGCACCCAAGACGGCCCGAGAGGGCCCTAAGAGCCCCCCCGGGAGGCCCAAAAGAAGGCCCAGGAGGCGCTGCACTGCGAGATGTGGAAAGCCAAGCTGGAGCCCGACGCCATCATGATTGCCTTTCGGCCCTGCAGCCGCACCCCCCCGCGCTTGCCCAGAGACCCTTCGCCACGTCGAGCTGATGTCGTGGACGGAGTCCACAGGTCTGCCCTAGTCATCAGCTACAACGCTGGGATCAGCGCGTGCGAGAAGGGCAGGCAGTGGCAGCGGGCTCTGTCGCTGCTCAGCGAGATGTGGGAGGTGAAGCTGGTGCCCAACATCATCAGCCTCAGCGCTGGGGTTCTGGCTTGTGAGAGGAGTGGACACGGGCAACAGGCGATTTTGATGCTCACCGAAACGCGGGATGCGAAGCTTGAGTCGATCAGTGATCTACTCATTAATGCGATGCGCACGTGAAGACCAAATTAAGTACTACAATGTTGGGACCGAGGTGTGCGACAAAGGCAAGAATATGGAGCAGGATTTGTGGCTGTTAAGTGAGATCGGGGAAGCGAAGATGGAGCCCAATGTCCTCAACTACTTTGCTGGAGTCAGCGCGTGCGAGAGAGGCAGGACGTGGCAGCGCGCCCTGTCGCTGCTACGCGAGATGCGCGAGCCGAGCGTTAAGCCCAATGTCGTCAGCTACAACGCTGGAGTCAGAACATCCCAGAGAAGCGGGCAGTGGTAGCAGGCGTTCTCGCTGATCAGCGAGATGCGGGAGGCAAAATTAGAGCCCGACATCACCAACTACGGCTCTGGGGCCAGCGCGTGCGAGACAAGCGGGCAGCGGCAGCAGGTCTTGTCGCTACTCAGGAAGAGATGTCTGGCCAAGTTTCAGCCATTGTAGGTGGGAGGAGATGCTGACGCCCGAGAGTATGAGCTATTAGCGCCAGGGCCACCCTGCAAGAAAAACTGGCAGTGCCAGCGGGTCTTGTGGCAGATCAGCAAGGTATGTGAGGCCACCGGCTTCTACTGCAGCGCTGCGGTCGTCACGTTCGGGAACGGCCAGCAGCAGCGGCAGCAGCAGCAGCAGCAGCAGCAGCGCCAGTGCGTTACACCTCAGGACGGCAGAGACACGATAGCGGCGGCGGCGGCCCGTGGGGCTGCTCGGCAAGATGCGGGGGAAAGTGCTGGAGCCCAGCGTCGACAGCTGCTGCTCAAGGTCTGGCAATTGCGAGAGCGGCGAGCAGTTGCTGTGGACCCATGCCGTCGGCGTGGGAGCTTCAAGAGACAGAGCGGGGACCCGATGTTGGGACCAGCCCGTGCGAGAGAGGCAGAAGGTGGCGGCGATCTGAGTATGGCCAACGGGGCGTGGGAGACCGGTGCCACCGACCTCGGCACAACCCAGCGGCACCACATGGAGGGCTGTTGAAAGAACCCAAAGCAAAAACAAGTCATTGTCGTCATCGTCACCATCGTCATCACCAGCAGCATCATCGTCATCGTGATCAGCATCATGGTCATCAGCACCGTCATCGTCGTCGTCGTCGTCGTCGTCGTCGTCGTCGTCGTCGCGTCGTCCTCGTCGTCGTCGTCGTCGACGTCGTCGTCGTCGTCATCACCGGGGGGGGGGAGAATTTCTGTTGCCGCTTGTCACACTTTCTGGGCTTTCGGGGGGGGGGGGCCTCCGACATGGGGCCGCCCCGGCGGCCACCGACCCCCCGGCGCCGCTCCAGAGGCGGGCGGCAGAGAGGAGAAAAGAAAACAAGTCCACGCGGCGTCCTCCTCCGCTCCTCCCCCCCCCCCCCCTCCCCCTGCTCCCCCATCCTCCCGCCTGCTCCTCCGCCCCTCCTCCCCTTCTCCTCCCCCTCCTCCTCCCCTCCCTCCTCCTCTTAATTGCTCCTCCTCCCCCCCTCCACCCCCCTCCTCCTCCCCCTCCTCCCCCGCCTCCTCCTCGCCCTCCTCCCGCTCCTCCTCCCCCTCCCGCTCCCCCTCGTGCCTCTTGCCGAACTGCGCGCCAGGTTCCTCTGGCGGGGGGGGGGCGCTTGAGCAAAGCTCGGGCAATGATCCCAGGACGGCTGGGGCCACCGTCGTCTGGTTGGGGACAATCCTTTATCATCCTTGGGGGTTCCCCTCGTTCGAGAGTCTCAGCCATCTTTTCCCATGCGTAGACAAGAGTCAACTCAAGAGTCGGTTCAAGAGACAGCTCGTCGTGCACGGTTGGCCCAACTTCTGGACAGATGTTGCACCTGCTCTTCCCCAGACTCTGCACCACAAGATACCTCCGAGCCTCATGAGGCGGCGGGAACAACGGAGCTGCACAGGGTGGCCGATGCAATGCTGGCTTAACCATACTTTCTTCGGGCACTGGGACGAGGGAGAAGACAGGCAGAGAGAGCAACGCAGCCGTCCTCGATTGTCCTGGGCCGGGACGTGCGCGGTGGCTGATCTGGCAGCCTGCTCCTGCGACATACCCCCTCCCGCCCTCCGTCTGGCCTCATGCTGCCGATCTTGCTTGCTTCCACCAAAGATGTGGATTGCCTCTGTCACTTCACGCATAGCGACTGCAAGCAGGTCCGACTGGATTGTACCAGCCAGCAGGTCGATCTGGGCGACATCCTCTGCCAGCAGCTTGGGCGGCCTGGCTCCCACCATCCGCACACGCGTCAGTTTATTGCTTGGCCAACCAATGAGCAGGGAAACGTTGGCCGCCTCAGTTTGCTCGGCTGGAAGACGCGACCGCAGTTTCTGGACAATGAGTGGTTTGCCTAAGGCCACCTCCCAAACATTGATCCAGGGAAGCGCAGTCGTACCATGGGAACCTTAGGGCCTCTTGCGGTTACTATCAGCGACATTCTACGAATCTACTACCAGCAATGCTGGTCCGCTATTGTGCCGAAGGGCTTCCGTGGCTCCTATCAATTCTGCTATGGATACTGATTGCGTCCAATAGTGCACTAGTCAGCTACAACGCTGGGATCAGCGCGTGCGAGAAGGGCGAGCAGTGGCAGCATGCGCTGGCGCTGCTGAACGAGATGTGGGAAGCAAAACTGGAGCCCGACGTGATCTCTCCTACAATGCCGGAACCAGTGCGTGCGAGAAAGGCGCACTGTGGCAGCTCGGCAAACAGGCCAGCGGGGCCAGACCCTCCCACATTGGCCCCGAGCGCCCCAAGAAGGCCTCAGAAACGGCTTCAGAGATCCCGGACGGGCTGAACACGGTCGCAGAGACCCTAAGAGGCGGTGCAGGGTGCATAGCAGGCCAAGAGAGGGCCACAGAGGCGCCAAGAGAGGCCCCATGTAAGTGATGCACGAGAATGATTGCTAATGTCTGTCGCCTTCTCGCTCAAGGCACTTCTTTCGGGGAGTCATTCTCTGAATGGCCACAGCCCTCTTCGGAGCGGGGGCTCATTGGGTCGCGGCGATCGGCGGCCAGGCGATAGGCACCTGGCTCGGCAGCAGCAGCAGCGGGTGCGACTGCAGCTGCCACTTCGACGCCTCGCCCGACGAGGCCCTCATCGGGCTGCTGAAAGGACAGCTCGACAGGTGCGGTCCAGAGCACCTGCGCGGGCAGCCGACGTTCACTCCAGCCTGCCCCGAGCCAGGGCACACCCGGCTGGAGCTAGGCCTCTCGCTCGTGCTCGGCCTGGTCCTGGGCGCTGTGTTCCGCGAGGTCCTTGGCTGGACGACAAGACGACGCGCTCGGAGAGAGACCCAGTCAGTGGCCCATGGCAGCCTCGCGGACGGCCAAGGCCCTGGAGACCCTGCAGGTGGGTACACGGGTCCTCGCCTACTACGAGCAAGAGGACAATTACTGGCATGAACGGATTTTGGTCGGCAGGATCACTGCGACGAGATGGGTGGTGGTCACACCACACTTTGACATCTACGAGGAAGACTTCGCGGACGCCCTGCAGCTCTGTCCAGTCGGCCCCCTCGGGGGCCTGCCCACGAACCTCTCGGGCCACATCCTGCGCATGGACATGGACCGCTACAAGCGGAACGAAGCGAGGCTGCTGGCTGAGGGCAAGCAGCTTGCTAGCGAGATCCGCCGGGAGGAGGGCCTCCCCGACGAGCCACTCGGGGCGCTCGCGCCACCGCCGGCACCTGGCGGGGCTCTCGCCGTTCGTGCTGACGCTGGTGACGCTCCTCGCTGGGTTGCCTTGGAGGCCCGAGCTGACTACCGACCAGGTGACGAGCTTCCAGCAGGCACCGTGCCCGTCGCCGTTCTTGGAGATCGGGGGATCTGTGAGCTCGCCGATGGCACCAAGCTGGCAGTCGCGAAGGCCGACACCTATGAGGGCACTCCGACCCCCCGGCAGGAGCGTCAAGCTGCAGAGCAGGATCTTCGGACCCTTCCTGTCAAGTACGACGCCGGCGACACCAGGGTCAGGGACTTCGCCGAAGCGGTGGACATCATGTCCTCCAACCCGCAGCTGGACTTCCCTGTCCTTGGGCCGCGGACGACCTTGTGGCTGGTGCAGCAGTTCAAGCGGCTGGGCCAGACCCCCCTTCAGCGACACATGTGGTGGAGGCAGACCCAGAACCTCACCGCCGCGGATGCTGGAGTTGATGAACATCAGTTCCTTTCAGAGCTGCTGGAGATGGGCGCCGAAAAGGACCAACTCAATGAGGGCGAGCTCGCGACCTTCGAAGCTGTGTCGCGACGGTACCAACTTTGGGAGGAGGTCTACGCCAACAGACTTCGTGAGCACGAGGCAGGCGCGGTTCGCAGTTCAGGGGGCTCAGCTTGGCTCGACGAGCGTGAGATCTTCTTGGGACAAGAGCGTGGGCGCGGTGGAGCTTTGGTTTGTCCTGCACTTCAGAGCTGGGTGGCAGCCCGTCTCCAGGAGGAGGCAGCAGTACTCAAAGAACGGCGCAAAGGACGTGAAGAAAAGATTATTGCTCGAGGTGGTGTGGAGGAGAACAGCACAGCCAGGCCGAAGTCTAAAGCAAAGGCCAAGGGCGGTGCTGACGGGGCTTCCTAGCCCCATCCCTATATCGAAGTGGCTTGGTCGCCCGCCTGCCCCCGAGCGGTCGACTATTCTCAAGGGGGGGTGCTGGTCATACGGCACTATGTTTTGTGACGACGGCGGTGGGGGGCGCCATCGAGACCTACTTCCCATTCCGATCGGTCCGGAGCTGATGTCGATGCTGAGCGGTGGGGCTGCATGGGGCACTTCACTCACAGCACGGAGGAGAGCTGCGACCAGGAGGCGACAGGATCAGTGGCTATTCGACGGCATCACCTCTCTCAACGAGCTGGGGGGGCAGGGGCGCCATGTACCCGCCCTTTCCCCGCTGACGGCGGCCCAGCGTGCTGCGG